AGTTGGCCTATCAGCTATATTTTGTTGCACGCATAATAATCCTATGTGGATGCATCTCATTGTTTCTGGTATTGAACCGCTCTTCAACAGGGGATCTATTAAATTTGAAGCCGTGTCCTCCTTCCAACTTTTACATGCCTGCATAACTTTTTCAAAAGTTAGAATTAGAAATTAACAAAGTCAGGCAGGACGTTTCTTTCGTTAGTTTAATCTTAATTGCAGGGATATCTATAGCCCAACTTTTTGTGTTACTTACATAGCTTAGAAGGTCCTCCATGTTCCCACCATGACGGAAAGAACTATTTTTTCTGTCCAGTAATTATCTCTAAAATCAACACACCAAAGCTATACACATCGGACTTAACAGAAAAGTGCCCGCGCATTACATACTCAGGAGCCGTGTAACCACTACATATCAACGAAAGTAAGGTTAGCTTTTGTTATTCTATTTGAAACTTGCAATAGTTATGCCCAAATTATATTGTCGTGTGTTCTTAATTTATTGTATTGTTAATGACTTGAACTTTGAGATACAAGATCTGCTAGTACTTACTAGGTCCCAACAACTCGATTGGTATCACCTTGTGTTTGATCAAGATCAAACAGTCTTGCCATGCCGAAATCTGCAATCTTGGGTTGCATTTCTGCATCTAACAAAATGTTACTTGCTTTCAAATTGCGATGAATTATTCTAAGACGAGAATCTTCATGAAGGTAAAGGAGTCCTCTCCCAATTCAAAATATGATCTTGTAGTGACTATCTCAATGCAAATGTGCTCGCATGGTTGGATCTGCATATTGAAGCAAGTAGACTATTTTGTAATGACTGTTAATGACGTTTGATGAAGTGTACTCTATTTGCAAAGCATGTACATAGAAGAACTTACAATACATTCCAAAATAAAAACAGAAATCCAGTTCCCAACCCTACCAAATATGAAATGATCGAGGCTTGCATTAGGGACAAACTCATAGATAAGAAGCCTTTTGTTTCCTTCCAAGCAGAAACCAAGGACCTAACTAAATTGCGGTGTTGAAGTTTGGCTACTAACGTGACCTCATTTTTAAATTCTATATCTCCTTGTGCAGAATCTTTAGAAAGCCTTTTAACCGGTATATCTTCTTAGTTCAAAAGCGTACCCTGCATTCAACCGCCATCTGAATGTTAACTTATTTCTCACAATAATCACTTAACCGACATCAATGGGGATAAGATTCGTTACCCTGTAAACAGCACCAAATCCACCTCGTCAAAGCTTATTTGCTTCAGAAAAGTTATTTGTAGCTATTCTTATGGAGCCAAAGTCGAACTTCAAAGCTTCTGTATTAAGAATTTCATCTCCTTCTTTGCATGAGAGAGAAGCAATATGAAGCCAAAAACTAAATAAGGCTATTGCAAGCATATTCTGTTTCAAGGGAAGTAAAAATTAACTGATCTAAACTTGCCTCCAAGTTTTCCCTTCATCTTCTTCAATCTCAGATAAATGCAGATCGATATAATTAGTACCAGGGAAATAACAACCGTGACAACCGTAATGATGACAGTCCGAGAAGTATTACTCTCCTTTCCTGCACAAATCAGAAATATAGCTTCTCTGATCATATCAGATTATATGTGGGCCCTTCAATTAGCTAAATCTTTTCTATGACTAGGTGTAATGAATGATAATTTATTAAACATTGAGAACCAAATTACAAATTAATTTGTTTCTAGTTGGTGCTACAATCCGAAGGAAAGAATCAGACATGATGCCAAGATGTAATACCTCCTGGACTCGCAGTATTGGCTGGTGTTGTCTCGGTTGTATCTTTTAAAAAAGGGTAAATTTCATACCTTGAGCCACAGCTTGGTGTCATTCTCACACCAACTGATACACTACAACATGATCCAAACATTCCGAAAGTAGAATTTAAGCAATCAGTACAACTTTGCTCGGATAATTCTGGGGTGCACTGAACAAGTCCATATATTGTTATATAAGAACTTGGAAGGTTTGCGTTTCCTGTTGCAAATTTAAGAAGATCACCACCCGTTGCTGCTTTTTGTCCTAGTCGATTCAGCAAGTGAGAGATCTCCTGACCGAACGCTTCCAAGCCGATTGATACAGGTGCAATTTCAACATCTTTCAGGTATAAATCTGGATTAGTTTCCATCATGCCGTATGTGGAGCGGTTTGATCAGTAGCGTAACATACAATCGTTCTGCCATCCAATTGCCTCCTTCTGATTATTAGTACAATGTTCCCTTAGATAGTTTGCAGCGTCAGTAAGGCACTTACTGGAAATGTCCTTTTCAATTAGTCCCCCACGGAGCCCGATTGTATAGACTCTGTCAATGTTTTCGCCACGGGAGGAATTGAAAAAGCCATAGCCGTTGTTGTAAGAGTGTAAGTCAAAGAGGAGGCCATTGAGGTTTGTTTGATAGGTGGTGCCAGTAGTGTAGTTACCTTTGTCGTTAGAACAGTGGAATATTGGAACATCACGAGGTCCAAGCAGGGCTTGAGTGAAATTAACGCTGATGATGAGTAACAAAATTTGTGTACAAAGGAAGAATAATCTGATTAATCTTGAGGAAACCATGGCCAAAAATAAAAATGAGTGTTAACTGCATGCATGATAATTAAACGTCATTGGGATGGGGGAACTTCTGATTATTTTAATTAATTGATACATTGACTGAAATGGGTCTGGTGTAACTTCCGACTGAGTTTTCGCCGCCGCTGTTGAAACTATCCAAGTTCCTTGTGCGTTGAAATTGCTAAATTGGTGGTCAGTAGGATTAAAATGCAGTGAAGAATAATCATTATAAAAAACAAGGGTAAATTACACTTTCATACCTTAGGTTTGGAGTCTATTTCAATTCCTTACAACATCTTCAAAACATTTCACTTTTATACCTTAAGTACTATTTTATTTCAAAATAATACATCTGTTACATTTTTCATTCATTGATCTGTTAAATGTTGACTTGGCTGCCATATATATGCCACGTGGCTGCCAAATGTTTGTCACGTGGTAAATAAAATAATTTTTTAGTTTTTTTTTTAAACCTGAATTTTCTCAAAAAAAAAAAAAAAAAAAATTAAACCCACTATCAACCCCCCAAGATCCACATCACTATTCCTAACCCAAAACCCAAAAAACCTGTTGTAGCAGCAAGAAGAAGAAGAAGAAGAAGAAGAAGAAGATGGAGGAAGAAGAAGGAAAAAAAAAAACCTGCAGCAGCAGCAGCAGGAAGAAGAAGAAGATGAGGGAGGAAGAAGAAGAAGGAAAAAAAAACCCCAAACCCAGTTCGTCCCCCCCCCCCCCCCCGCCCCGGGGGAAGGCACTGGTTTCAATTTTTTTTATTCTTTTTTTGAGAAAATTCAGGTTTTCTAAAAAAAATTATTTGCCACGTGGCAGACATGTCAGCATTTAACAAATCAATCGATGGAAAATGTAACGGATGTGTTATTTCGAAATAAAATAGTACTTGAGGTATGAAAGTGAAATATTTTAAAGATGTTGTAAGGAATTGAAATAGACCCCAAATCTGAGGTATGAAAGTGTAATTTACCCAAAAAATAAAGAACACAAATGTAGTTTATGTGGTAAAACGTCACACACAATGAAAAAGTCCGCAAACACACTGCTAATTCCTAAATAAGGACTTTTAGGGGGCGTTTGTTGCGCCGGACTATCTCGGACTGGATTAGCTTCAAGGACTAAGCTGGATTGGCTTACACTAGATTAAACTGGACTAACTTAATGAAGCGTTTGGTGCAGTATTGGACTAAGAAGCTGAATAATAACAAATTCTAATATTATATTATTTAATATATAAATTATTAATATTTTATTATGATCTTATCTTTTTCTCCATCTTTTCCTACCATTTCCGTCCCACTCTTTACCTCTTCTCTCATCGTCCCACCCTCTCCCTCTTTTTTTCCTCTTAGACCTCTCAATTCATGTCTCTTTCTCATTCCTAGTCAAACTCCTTATTGATTCCAGTCTCTATTTCTCTGTCCTCCCTCCCTCTCTAGCTATGCGTTGTTCGAACGGAACCTCACGGCTCCAATTTTCTCGACGAGTTGCATGTTTCTTGATGTGTTTTCTGGCCAACCCTCGTTAAATTGGATGAAGTTAGCACCGCCAAAAAATTCATCACCAACCCTGGACCGAGATCTTAGCTTTGAATGCTCGAATCTGTCATGGATTTGAAGAAGCCCAAATAGGCCGAGACTTCCAGGCCATTTTCTGGACACATTCGACCACATTTTGGCCTTGATTCAAGTAAAATCGTAATCTTGTCACTCCCAGCTTCAATTTGGTATATTTTATATGAAAGTTGGTTGTGAAATGGATCTGAAAGAGAGTCTGAAAGTTAATGATTGATCTAGGTGACCGGAGATGACGAGGAGTCTGTCGGGAGTGGTCGTTGAGCATGACGAGGACGAAAGCGAGGTATTTAGCTAGTCCCATGTTATGGGAGGCCGCTAAGACCTCTTAGGAAGGGTTTTGTCTTCCCCTTTGTCTCATTAATGCGTCCAGCATGGAACAAACACAGTATTGGACTAGGTAGTCCGTCCATCCAATTGTGAGGCAAACAAAGCCCCTATCTATAACATAAATTAATTATCATGTAGTCCGACGACTCTGTAGAAATATTCATAATATTTTTCCGACTTATTCATCCATGCTCACACACACGTGGACCACTCACATGCCGTAACGTGATTTTGCTGATTTTGTGATTAGTTTTTATTTTTAAAAATATTACAATTGCGAAATTTGCACCATATTTCTCATAAAAATAAAACTCACATATGTTAATAGCCTTATATTAAGAGGTGATATAAATATAATACAAAAAATACGATAAGTGTAACATTATTTTTTATCTTTTGTTAATCCAAAGTAAAATTATTTAACTTATGCCTTCACCTCGAGAAAAAAAAAGGTACAACCACTTAGAAATTGTTGTGGCCTATTCTGAGGGGTATGGCAAAGAAGAGACAGTGTTGAACAACAAAAATATATAACATATAAAGAAAAGATAGAGTCCATACAAATTGGGTCAAACTCCAAGACAAAACAAAAGATATAATTCAGCTCAAAAAAATTAGGATGGACTTTACATACAGATCAACATCCATAAATAAAATAAAAAGAAAAAGAAAAGAAAATATGTATTTCTTCCTACAAAAGGGGGAAGTAACATGCAACAGGGTCTCCTATTTTTCTGCAAGGCGTGGAAAAACTGCACAGTTAGCGGGAGAGGTTAAGAGAAAGTGGCAAGAGGTCATGGCCTCCATCTTCCCCCACGTAACAAACTCTAGAGCCTTCCTAGGATGCCTATAAACAGGCATCAGCTGCAGCAAGAGAAGAAAAAAAAAACAGAAAGAGAGGGGATACTCTGCAGAAAAATAGAGAAACTTTGAGAGAAAATACCAAAAGCAACGAAGTGCTGCCGGAAAAGTGAACAAGGAGTTCAACCATTCGTGCTTTCGAATCAAGATCCAAAGAAGAACATTCATCACCAGGTATGAAACAAGTTCTGTTAATTTATTTATCTCTCTTGTTTAATGTTGTGTTGCAGACAAAACTGAAAAATGGGGCATAATCAACTACCTAGGAACCTGTAATCTTCAGTTTATACAAGATAATTGCCAACAAGCCACCATAAAAGGTTTCTGTTCAAGAAGGGTTTCTTAAATGGTAGCCCGACTACTCTTCCATACCTGCAACAACAACACAAAGCAGTCCAAAAAAAAGGCAGCCACATGTTTTCTTTCTGCCTAAATCTGAAGAGAACAAAAGTACACAAGAGTTCCACTCTTCGCCACTGCCGTCATTCCCTTGAATTTCTTCGGGGTGGCCTAGACCATCCCGTGAAGTTCCAATCAAGTCTAAGTAATCCATGCTTGCCGTCCATGCCAAGAAAGAAAGGAGCAATCGGTGTCACGACAAGCAAAGGTTTTGGATAAAGAAAGAGCAAAGTTTCATTCGACTCTGAATATTGACGGTAAGTCTTCTAGGTAACATGAATGCCATTCACATGGTTATCATGTTGGGCAAAGTTAAGGAAACTTGAAAAACAACAAAGGATCATTCTAATTGCCATCGGTCAAAAATCAAGCCAAGGAAGCAGATATAGAAAGTCAAGTCTTATATGTAAAGTCATTCTTTGCGGTCCAATGAGAAAATAGATGCATTTGTGGACAAATAAAAGGGAAAAGAAGCCAAATGCAACTTTTGTTCCCCTTGACCGACTCATGCTTGGTCTCTGTGAAGAAAAATAACAAGGGATCAGCATATAACAAAATGCAACTCAAAAGGAAAGAAATTGTTCTGTTTGTAATTCTTTGATATTTTCTTTGCTACTCACGAGTACAAGACGAGGAGAAGGCCTTTGCATAAAATCTTATGAAAATTCACTTGGGATAAGAGTCCAAGAAAAAGGAGAAATTAAAAGTGATGATGTCTCCCTTTCTATTTGTAAAGCTCCAGCAAAATATAATGGAATGGTGTTTGCACAAGTATTTCAAAAATAGACCAAAGTCAAAGCATGGGACTTTACCCAAAGAAAAGTTAAAGCTTGGGACAAATAGCTGCTATGTTTGGAAAAATGGTGCAGCTATGTTTGAGGAAACATGCCATGTAAAACTCTTCAATATCAAACCATATTTACTCATGGGTACTGACAACAACTATACTTGACTAAGATGTCACAAGTAGCTGCTTTGTTTGAAAAAATGGAGCAGCTATGTTTGAGGAAACATGCCGTGTAAAGCACTTCAAATATCAAACTATATTTACTCATGGATACTGAGGACAAAATGTTATGGATGACTAATGTTGATGAGAAAGAAAAGCAAGCAGGACAAAACTAACGACGAGCACGGCTATTATAAAACCACTCACTTGACATTCAAATGGAAAAGTATAGTGCCTATTCTGATTAAGCATAGAAGGCAACACGCAAATAGAAGCAAAAAGAAATGAGGGCGTCCTACAAATTTTAGAGTGCAATTCTCACCTTTGGAGCCATGAATCAACGCTTGTTTTCAACGACCTCGATGCTGCAAAATAGTTGGTCCAACAACCATGTCAAAAACCAAGTCAAACTGATACCGAAAAACTACTCGTGATAAACGAAAAGCTAAATGAATTTAGACTACAAAAGCTACCAACAACAACTGGGCTTTGTCATCTACCAGTACACAAAAAAAAAAAAAAAAAAAAAAAAAAAAAAAAGGTTTGGACGATTCAATGAAGCTCATTACCTAAAGGACACAGCAACAACCAAATCGAAGAGATACTGTTGCTAGTGACGCCTGCACGACATAATTAAACCAATTAGTTGCAGTTCATAGTTTCAACACACTCCGAATGAAACCCAGAAAGCGAAAATGAGTAACCTGCTTGATCTCTCCCCTCCTCTTCGTTTTGAGTTTTAGATCCACAAAGGAAGCACACGAGCAAAAGAACAAGGCAGCAAAAAAAACAAAGGCTCTCGTGACCTGCATAGAAGAAAAGAAAAAACCTCTGCAATATAGGAGCAAAAGAGAATAAATTGGGGCAATTCAAAAGAGTTTGAACTCCACCAATCTTACCCATCTTCGTTTGGAATTCAACAGCTAATAAACTTAAAAGGAATTTCTACAAAAAAAAAAAAAACAAAACAAAACAAAACAAAACAAAACGAAAAAAAAAAAAAAAAACGAAGAAGAAGAAAACATTGCGAAATCGACGGGAAGCTCGAGTATATCGACATCCCTGTTTGGAGGAATGAATACCGGAGCAGGGAAGATTTCTGATTGGGTTTTGGAACTGTGCATCTCACGTGGGACTTGGAGTCCCACTTTCTACTTAAGGAAAATACAAAGTCCTATTTCACTTTGAACTGTGCATCTCACGTGGGTTTCTACTTGAGATAAAAACGAAGTCCTATTTCACAAAGGCCTATTAGATATTACCAAAGGTCATAAATGGGTTTTAAATAAATCCAATTGACTTCCAATTGACTACTCATTTTGCCAAGTCCGAACACAAGTAGGCAAATCCAAATCAAGCATATTTACAAACTAAGCCGGTTTGATTCCGTTAACGATACATAGACAGTCTGATATTAAATTTTAGACACAATCGTAAAACTGAAACAAATTCCTGGTTTATATAAACTAAATTCACTTCTACTACTTTGATCAAGTAAATTCTACAAAGAGTAAAAGAGAAGTCTTCAAGCACAAATTCCTAGATTTCCAATTAATGGATGCTGCTCATGCAACAAAGTTTCTAGTTTTTTAGGGAATGTTGCTCCATATGAGATTGAAGTAAAACAACAATTTTGTATTCACTGTAAGCCTTATATTTTTGGACTCCGTGAATAAAAATAGAGCCGCTCAAAAGGCACGAAGCCACATCAAACTTCAAATGACATAAAGCCAATTCAAATTACAAATGGCACAAAGATGCCTCGAATGGCACAAAGCCGTATCAAATCCAAAAAGGCACGAAGCTGAAGAAAAAACTCAAATGGCATGAGGCCGTATCAAATATCAAACGACATGAAGCCGCAACAAGATTCAAATCGTACGAAGCCACATCTTGCTCCAATGGCTCAAAGTCTTCGCCCACACAAGCTAAAACTGCACAAGACATGAAATGCTCCTTGCCAGCACGAGCTGAAAGGCATCAAACCCCAACAAATACATAAGGAACTACAAGTGACTTGATCCCTCATGAGGGTACATACGCAATCTAGGGCTCTACCTAGATGCAGTCACAAAATTAAATAAACATCCAAATCCCCCAAGTTACGATTTATTCATATTAGAATCAAAGGGTATTCATTTCCCTAAAGAAGGGTTGTAATTAATAGGCGTGTAGCCTAGAATGGGTCGGACTCAAATTAATAAAACCCTCTTTGAAAAAAGAACAAGGGTGAAATTGTGTCGAGTGAATTATTTGTTTAAGCTTTTTGTCGTCATTGGAAGAGGCCTGGCAGTGCTTGCTATGCAAGTTATGGGCGTTGCTGGCAACGGTCTCAACGTGGGACTAACAAGGAGGAGGGAGACGGCGAGAGGAAGCTGGGTTTGGGTTCGGATGAGTTTGCTGGGATTGGGTTAGCCGTAGTTGGGTTGCTAGGTTTTTGATAGAGGAGGAGGCTACAAGAGAGAGGGAGGGTAAAAATGAGGGAGCTGAGGGAGAGAGATGGAGGGTAAACAGTGGAATTAATGAAAAAGATGAGGGATATTGTTGTCCAAAAAAATTATAATTTTGTGTTCCATAAGCTGGAACAAGTTGTTCTAGGGTGGAAGGTGGAATGAAAAAATGACTAGGATTTGTTCCATGGGACAGCGTGTCCCAGACAATTTGGCGCACCAAACATGGGACAAGTGTGTTCCGTCCCATTGCATTCCATCCCATCCCACGTACCAAACGGTACCTTATTTATAGTCAACCATGAGTAAGTGAAACATGTTTTCTAAGTAATACAAATCATAATATGAAACAATTAGTAGCATAAAGAGTAAACTAATTGTACCAATGATTTACACACACACACACATTTGTACTAAAATTTATACCACAACACTTTCCCTTGAGTCTATAAATACTTAACTAGTTGTTGCATCAGATCTTCACAGATGATGTAGAAGCAGTTGGTGAAGTCGTCTCCTTTAATCGGCATAAAGAGCGAATACGAGTCGTCAAACAAAGAAAGGAATGCATAAAAGGTAAAACTCATAAAACCTCGCTATGGTAAAAATTCAGTGTAGGATAAAACCCATAGTTTAGAAACATGAGAACCTGCATCAAACCAACACAAAACTTCTTCAAGATGCAAGTAGAACACATAAAGGTATGACTAGCACATGATGGGTGCCTTGTTAAAGCCTAGTCGGGTAGCAAAAACCCAATGGGAAAATACTCCTAATCATAGGGAAAAAGAGTACATTAAGGTTAAGTGAGTATACTTCTGATACTTTCCTCAAGTATACTTCTAAAAAGGTCGACTAGGTTATCTAGGGAACTATTTGCTTAACTTCAATCTTCTGATGCTTTTGCTACTGATGTGAGAAAAAAAACTATGCGCAATATGCTTGGTGTTGTCTCCTTTGATGTATAATTTCGTAATCAAATCAATAGAAGCTACGTTATCTTCATAAATAGTTGTAGGGACGTCAATGATGGAAGAAAGTCCGAAGGTGATTGAAACATGCTCAACAATAGCCCTCAACCATAAGCAATCACACAGGGCTTCATGTAGTGCGAGAAATTTAGCATGGTTCAAAAAAAGTCGCAACTAAGGTTTGCTTGGTTAACCTATAACATATTGCGGTGTTTCTAATGGTAAAGACATAACCTATTTAAGAACGTGTATTGTGTTGGTCAGATAAGTAACATACATTAGCATAACCACAAGGCATGAATCAATTTGAGGTTCAAGGGTGGTGGCTCCTTTTGAGGATGCATATGGATAGAATAAACCAAATCTGAAGTACCCTTAAGGTAACGAATGATGTCTTCAACACCAATCCAATGTCTACATGTAGGCACATTGTTATATCTTGATAAAGAATTAATAGCTAAGCAGATGTACTGTCAAATACATTGAGCTAAGTAAAATAAAGCAGCAAATGCATTAAGGTATGAAACTTCAGGCTCCAAAACCAATTCTTCATCGTTTTTAGGACGAAAATGATCTTGTTTTGCATCTAGCGTACAAACGACTATAGAACTCTATCTTCATTATAACGACACAACACTTTCTGGTGTAGTTCGATTGATGAACCAGAATACCATTCGAACAAATGCTCGATCTCCAAGATGAGACAATATTGAGTTTTTCCAAGAACTTTCATCTCAAATTCTAATTTTAGGTTCACAGCAAGTTTCTGAAGCTCTTTAGGAATCCTAATGAAATTCATGCCATTGACTTAATGTCACGCCCTGATCCAGAAATACGTCCAGGATCGACACGTGACGTCACCAAGTACCATATATCTAACATACCCTGCCTCCAGGATATGTACAAAACATAACTCGAGATCTAACTACGTAATAATTTTTCATATACTTTATGACTGCATCTAATCTACTCGTTAGACTGCCTATGTACCCTTAATAAGGATCAAGCCATTCGTAGTTCATCATTCACAAAATCAGACGTTTATCCCACTGAGTTCAAGCAGAAAAGCCTAGCATTCTTCAATCATTTATTATAACCTGACAGCATGAAATTCCTGGACTCAAGCTACATAACAAACCTTCATGAAAATCACTATTTCTCTTCCATCCAACATATAATTCATTATGTCTCATCATGATTTTGCAATTCACAACATACATCATATTTAAGAACCGACGAAGCAGAAAACCATTATCTAGCCACATTAATTAATTAATCTGATTAAAATAATAACCATCATTCCCATATCTTGTAAATTCATACTTTATGAAATCATAATCGAATCATAGAAAATTCTGAAAGAGTCACTCAGACATCTAACAACTTTTCTAACTCAATTCACAAGATTCTCAAAACCATTGTTCACAAATATATAAAAACTATGGTTAGAGTAACACAGTTAAGCCAAGCTTGCTTCTCCAAATAATGGGATTTCGGGCCACTCAACGGAACCAAACTAAAATATGATCGCCTATCAAATGTACCAAGTACAACTAATCCTCATCACTTCTAGAACACTTATGGTCCCCCAACGCTGATATACCAAGCATAACCATATGGATAGTCTAATAATATAGGCAATGATCACCCAACGTGGATATATGAAGCATGATCACCCCTAACAATCCCCCAACACGGATATACCAAGCATGATCACTCCTAGAATGCGTATGGTCCCTCAACGCGAATATACCAAGCATGGCCATAAACATAGTATAATCATGCAGGCGGTGATCACCCAATGTACGTATACCAAGCATGAGCACCCCTGAATAAGTATGGTCCCCCAACGCAGATTTACCAAGCAGGACCATCCATGTACCTCTGCTACATAGTTCAGTAACTTCAACACACAACTTATCCACACCTCAATCCCTGTGAGTTACAATGTAGTCACCTACACCATCAATTTCTCAAGGCCATCACTAACATGTCACACAAGCATATAAGTGCTACAACATATTTCTAATAGGATTCTAAGATCACATTGTCATAAAAATAATCATACACATCATTCACATTACTAAAAGATAATTAAACGCACATATTACACAAGCGAAATCAATTTTAATAAACATAGGTCTATGCCTAAATATATAAAGATCACATTCCAATAGGAATCACATTTATAAGACCAATTCATATTCGTAAATGATACTAATATAAGAAATTAAGGTAAGAACCATATCCCATATATTCAAGTCACTCTCTAACCAATGTGGGTCCACTAGACTTCACATCGTCTCCCATAGTACCAATTTTAGTATCTAAAACGTTTCGAGACATGTTGACCAAAAGTCAACTCTTGATCAAAGGTAGCGTCCCCAACTCTACGTAATTTGATCTGAAAGATGCACCCATCAGATTTTCGATCCATAACTTCCTAAGGTCCTCATTATGCTCATAGAACATCATAGTAAAATCTCACCACAATCCGACAGTCAGATCTCCGCCAATCACAATTTTCGGTGGCAGTCAACGTTTTATTTTAGAAACTTACAAATTGAATTCGAGAAGATCCGTACAACAAATTTGCGATCTGTAAGTTCCTGGTGTCCTCAAATGTTACATACTATAATGTATTAAATTTTGGTGACGATCCAACAGTCGGATCATCAATTCAATTAATGTCCAAGTGGCGGTCTCTATCAAAACTATAGTCATAAA